GTTAGATTGCATTGTAACAACAAAAGACTAAATATGACATAGAAACCCATACAAACAACATTAGTGGGTCATAGGATGTCTCATTCTAATCAATTATTTAGCAACCATGAATCTGTAGTACCCGTTATGTGCCTGATGGTTTTGTCTTTATTCTCAGTGGCCTGTTTTTCATTTTCAGCCCTGACATACTGATTGATTTACAAGTGTTTTAACCTATACATCAAGTTATGCATCTAATTGCTCAAAAACTTCAAATGTTAATTTCACAATTTTATTGTAATTTATAGATACAGCTCGACATGGGGTGGGGGTGTTGGTTCAATATGGCCTGCATAATTCGTTGAGGCATTATTAGAAGCTTGTCCACGTTCCATGTGTTATCTTCTGAATATAAAAATTTAATGAAGCCTGTTGAGACTAAAGTAGCAGAGGCAAGTATTTGGAAAGGGATGATGGTACGCTGGAAACACTTCCCTGAACCATGGTGGAGTGTGTCACTTTTCAGACTTTCCTCCAGGGACGATGCTATGAGGGTCATTCTGCCATCTTCCATGAATCTTTGGCAATTAGACAAGAGAAATGGAGAGCATGAGGGGTGGGATGAAAAGATGGGAGATGGTGGTGGGTTGATTGGGTACTACATCCCAAAAATGCAGCTGATTGTATTCTGACGATTTTTGGCTTCCTGTAATGCTGCACAGCAGGATACAAGAATGTAGCATTAGAGGGAAAAAAGCTCTTTGATCAGTTTAATGTTGTGTGACGAGAACACTAGCTGGCAGTTTCACCTGTGTGTGTTAAGTGTTTAAAGCCCTAGTTTGGGATTTTGCAAATCCAGCTGGTAGCAAATCAGTAAACACCAACTGTTTGTATATGAGCTTTAGCCAGATAACTGGGTACAAGAAAGAGACAGAACAGAGACAGGAGAAAAGTACGTATGTTATAAAGTAGTTTTAATGCATGATGGGGTCAGTTAATGGTAAATTACTGGTTCTAAGTTTAAAAGAACCTGAGAACAATCACAATACATTTGTACAATAATGTTGAAATGGATTGCCAGTCTCACCAAAGTCTGAGACCTGTACTTTTTTCAAATTAGTTCTTACTTGTTTGGTCACGGAAACCCTTCCATCAGTGTTCATAGTAGGGATGGGTGATATTGTCAAAATAATTCTCACAATTAATTGTGGCATTTAGCTGATAACTATTAAAATGACAATTAATAAATGAGAACTGTACTTTCATGTAACTGACATTGTAGCTTTCCTCTTACTCCTGTTTATGTTGGTGTTTCAGGTGATTAAACAAGTAGAAAGTGTTATGTTAGTTGCTCTGTGCTGGCTTCTGCCCTTGGGCTCACATAGTGATCGCCAAAATATGCCATCACATGACACTAATCGCAGTAAATGCAAAGTGGCAAACTGTTAACAGTTTTTCTGGCGATTAATTGCACACGATACGATTTTGCCCAACCCTAGTGCACAGATTATAATACCCTTATTGACATTATTTCTGCTTATTGAACGAAACTCTGAAAGATGCCAGTTATGTTACAATGTGACAATAAAGCCTCTTTCACAAGACAATTTTGCGAAATCGCAGCACAGACCAGTCCAGCTTTAGGCTCCCTTGTTTCATTCATAAATCACAGGGGAAGCCGGCCAGGTCCTACTCATATGTACGTGTTCAGAAATTAACCCAGCAGCGCAGAACCTAAAGAGGGGTGGAGCTGATCTCAGCTCAGCTGAAGTGGACCGCAACGTATTTATTGTGTGACGGGCGTCTGCATTGTAAAAAAACAAAACAAACTGAATGAAGTTACTTTAGTCATTCTGTGGTTCAATATTTTTTAAACTCAATACAAAATTGTTGTTCTGTGTCATTTTTTAATATTTCCTTGGTAATAAATCTGTAGATTAATCGTCCAGTTCACTGACTCTGCCTCATATCAAAAACAAAAAATTAAATGAGCTCATTTTTGTCATGGTCTGTGTTTATTTTCCTTAGTTTTCTAATGTTTTCAGTGTTCCCGTGTTTCTCTGCCCTGCAGCCCCGCCCTCTCTCACCTGTGTCCTCTTGTGTCTGCTCCAGGTGYGTCTTGTTGCCCTAATTAGTTTGCCTTTATATTCTGTGTCCTGTCTTYATTGTACTGCTTCCCTCAGCCAGTGTGGTGTTCTCTGTGTCCCTGTTCGTTCCTGTGAGTTTTTGAGCTGCCCTGTCAGCCTTTTTGTTTTATTAATAAATCTTTAAACTTTGGATTTTTGCATGCACCCTGGATTTGTCCCTGCCTGCACCTCACAATTTTAGCGATTCTGTGGTTCAGTATTTTTTAAAAGTTGCTATTTTGTGCCATCTTTGATATTCCCTCTGTAATAAATCTGTTTGTTGGTTAGATCCTGGGGTCACTCATGTCATCAGGTCATCATCATTATTGCCAGAACTGGCCCACATCTGGTTGACAAACCACTTGCCATGCCAGCAGTCAGCAGCTGTGCCAGCATGTCACCAGATCTGGCCCACAGCTGTCTGCTGTGTGGGCCAGTGCCAATCACATAAACAATAAGACATGAAATGTTAGTTATCTACTTTATTCTTATCTCCTGGTTCTACTAAATATGGTTGTTTAAATATAAACTATTATAATTCCCACCTGCTTCCAAAAGATTAAGATGGACAGTATTTTTTATGCTTGTGTCTCTGGGAATATCAGTCAAATATTTCATGAAGTACTTAATAAGTATCAGTACAASTTACAGTAAGTCATCATTGCATGCACATTTACATCTAAGGACTCAATCCAATTCAAGACTACTAATACAGCAAGTCAACATTAGCAAACACAAAAATGGTTTTAAATCTGCTATTTTTACATAATTTAGCTAAATTTAGTTATGGTAGTAGCCTAGAATCATTGACAGCACATGCACTGAGCACTCTGAACATCTTGTGATACTRCATGGTGTTGCATTTTACAACGTTTTCCAGGTTTGATCAAAACGTCTACAATGGAATTATTTCTCAATATATGATGAACCCTGGGCTGATGAGCACTCAATTATTTGAATGTTTATGGATCACAATGGATTCAAAAGATTTCAGAATGCTATCCCACCTATCCTCAAAAAAAATTGAAATAAAACTGGCTTTTTTCATGTTCCCCAGTACCTAAGTGTATTCCCCAGTACATATTTACCTATAAGAAGTACTTATTCTAAAGAAAAAGTGGCATTTGTTTGGCTAGTCCAGGGGTCTGCAACTTCTGCAATCAAAAGAGGCATTTCTTCCCTTTGGCTCACTAATAAATGTGTCCGGAGCTGCAAAATGTGCTACAACTGTGACCATCAACTGGTGGCCTGTGTGCCACTTTGAGCTTGTTGAAAGGGGGATTTTCCAGCCTGTAGGGGGTGACCATTATAAAACAAAAAAATTACTGTGAATTTTACTGTTTATTTTTATTTTTACACTTTAGGATAAAAGAAAAAAAACATATTTATGCACCAAGAAAAATATATATAGTTTATACCAAAATCGATAAAGCTAAAACACTAAACTACGCACAGAAATGTTATTATTTTTCTCATTATTGTTACTTAATAAACTCAACATACATTTCTCTTCTCAGCAATTTGTCTTAAAGGTATTCTAAAAAAATATATATCCTGATGGATTAGAAAAAACAATCATACTCTAAGGTTGAAAGTTGGATTTTTGCAGAGACCAACAAACTACTTGCATGATCTAATCAACATAACACTCCTTATCTTAGTAGTATCCATCAAATATTTGCAAATAAATTGACAGAAAAAACTGCTAATGCTAATCGTTTCTGTTGTTGATATAAAATACAGAAAAAAAACTCCTGTTAGTTTTAGTCAATGCTTCAAAGAGCCGCTTGTGGTCCTGAAGCTGCAGATTGCAGACCCCTGGGCTAGTCATTAGCCTAGCAAAATTGCATAGGACACATTTTTTTCTATACTATTGGAGGATATAGACACTATTACTGTTTGACAGAACATACTTCAAAAATGACAACTAGTAGATTTTTACTATATTAAGATTCAAAATCATCTATGTAAACCATACAACACCCTTTTTTCTAAGTGTAGCATTTTATCAACAGCAGTTAATACAGAAATTAAGTTTAAACTAGACACCATGCTGCTGACCATGACTTGAGTAAGGCTGGGAAAGAGCCAAATACAGCATTACAAAGGGCCCGCATTCAAAAAGCAAATAAAGGCTTGTGATTTCTGTTGCTACTTCTGTTTTAGCTACAAGGTGACTGAGGAGAAACAGCCTGCAATCAGTGGCAGGCTGTTTCAGGCAGGAGCCCCAACCTGGTGGTGGGGGTCAGGCCAGAGCTGGAGCTCACGGGCACCGAGGTGCACTGCACACCCCTGCTTTAATGACGGCTGAGAGACGGGAACAAACAAACAAACACAAATCTACATGATCTGGCCGGCTCCTTGCAAAAAGGCAACACAAAGGGGGGGGGGGGGGGGGGGGGGGGGGGTGCAGCCGGCGCACGTTGGACCGCTTGTCACGCGCAAATCTCGCTCAAATTCAGGTCAATCTAGAAGTACAATCGTGTTCGCAGCAAAGCAACCCCCCTTATCATTTCGAGCCCCCCTACCACCAAACACACACACATGTCGGCCTAGGATGGATTGATGCACGGTCAGCTGAGATGAGATGGAAGAGGAGGGGGATGTCATGCGCACCATCATAACAAAAATAAATAAATAAATAAATAAAAATAAATACAACAAAGCCCAATAAACAGCACAAACCAAATATGCACAAAATTAATCAAAAACAACTGGAGCTCTCATCGAGTCAGAAAAAAAAACATCCGGCCATATTCCCAACAGCCTCGTCAGATTCCAAGCATTATCTTTGTTTTTGTTTTTTTTTTTTCCCTGTCAGCCTCTTTGCACAGATGGGAAGTGTGACACGAGCGAAATGAGGAGGAAAACAGGAATGACACTGCGCCCGCTTACTGTAAAATCAAATCCCTCGTGTGGGGGTGGGGGGTGGATGGAGAGCCTCCCTTCTTCCCTCTGGACTCTCCTCCTTTCCGACGTGCGCCAAATCTCCCGAAATTCAGACCATGCAAAGCAGGTAGTAGTCAGTCATTCCATACGCACTCACACACACACACACACACACACACACCCAGAAGTCGTCCCTCCAGCTCCGTGGTGTGAGAGAAGACGGGCAGCATCAGTGAGAGGAGAGGAGGCAGCCCAGCTGTGGGGAGGAGATGAGGGTGGGAGCGGCCGGGCAGGGGCACTGCGCACAGGAGAGGGGAGGCAAGGAGAGCGGCAGAGGTGCTTTCCCTCCCTTCCTCTCTCTCTCATACCTCACAATGAAACTCCCCACCACCACCTCCCATCCCCGCCAGACAGACCGACAGACCGCCAGGATAACAGTGTCTGCAGCGGCACCCAGCGGGGATGAGTGGAGCTGCAGTATGGCGGGTTGTTAGTGCCACACAACAGCAACATCTGGAAGACAGAAGCTACACTGCTTGGTCAAAAAAAAGAAAGAAAAAAAGGTCGCACATACTTCTTTGGACTGTTTTAGCTTCGATTACAACACATATTCACCCCATACCATCACTACTACAAGCTTACATCACAACATTTATTTCCTGACCAGATTTGCATTGATTTTTCACCAAGTGTATCGATGACGGGAGATTAATTCGGACCACTGTGCAAAGTCTTCTCCAGCAACATCCCAACGTTTCTCAGTGGGGTTCAGGTCTTGACTCTGTGGTGGCCAATCCAGATGTTAAAATGATTTTTCGTGCTCCCTCAAACACTCGTTCACAGTCTGAGACCAGTGAATTCATCACCATGCATGCCATCAGGGAAGGGACAATCCGTTGAAGGAATAACCTGGTCACTTTGTAGAAATTTGTTCTTTGGTTTTTCAGTTTTAAAATAAAATAATTTTAAAAAATTAAAAACATTGTTTTCGTTTAGTATTTTGCTTTACAACTAAATTAGAAAAGTGGTAATTATAAAACTAAACAACCTTTTTTATTTTAATTGTTAAAGCAAAGACAAGCTTTTTATTTTGTTTAGTGCACCATTTGGGACCTTCTGGTGGGACTGGAAATCATGTCCTGAACTCCTGGAGAATTACAATTTCACTTCTCACCATGAATTTGTTTGTCTTGTTTAGAGGGAGTCAACACATTTCATCAGCAGCTGATGACCTTACTGTGAACAAAATAGCTTTAATAAACCAATTAATGCAGAATACAGTAGAGTGCAGCCATTGCCAATGTCTTTAAGAATGGTTTCTGTTTTTAAGCAGACTTGCAGCCTATTAGTATAATATACAGTACATCAATACATGGCAGCCACTATAAACTCTTTTTGTTTGGCAACTTCTGTCATTTCCAGTATCACTACACATTCAAAACACAACCATTTATTTTTATTTTGGATTTAGATAGCTAAAGCAAAAATCAAATGTGGATTTTCAATTTGTTTGATTTTACATTCTTACATTTTGGTTTTAATAAACAGAAGGGGGGGGGGGTCTTTTTGCCATTTTATTTTGAAATGGAAGAACCAAAGAATGAACCACACACAGATTCTGGTCATTCAGGGGTTTTTTTTTTCAGGTAGTGAATGAATAGAAACTGATGGAGAATCATGTCAGCAAGAAATGTGTGAAGCAGAATGTTTAGTTGTATTGTCTTCAGCTCCACTTATGATTGAAGCGTTATGACAGTAGTGTCTCAGTCTGTTTATCTGATGTTGGTTTCTGGTAAAATGTCTCAACAGTCATCAGTTTAGTTCACACATAATTGCATACATGTAAATAATATGCAGTGTTAGTCTATTTCAACATGATATTATCTTAGTTAATTACAAAAAATTTAACTTTAGTTATATCATCTGATCTCCTGTGAGCTGATCTGGGGTCTGATGAAGTAAAAGGCCATTTGGCTTGAATGTAGCAATGGAAAAGTTCTGCTCAGAAATATCAACAGATTAACTTAATTACAGTTTGCCTTCATCATTCATCATTCATATGCACATTTTTGGAGGCAGATTGTGAAGATGATCCTTTCTCTGTACGTTACGTGAAAGATAAATGAAAATAAAGAGTAAAAAGTGTAATGTTTACTGATTTTACAGGAAGAAGAGACTCTACTTTGTTGATCTGCACAAGAAAAGTCCAAGAGCAGTTGAGGTTGTTACACCATGTGGGTCATAAAACACCGAAAGGGATCCTGAGATGATTTCCAACAAAATGTTTAGTAATTCCTTGCACATTTTTACTATAATTGACAGATTGGAGCCTCAGAATTTCACCCAAATAGATTATGTTTTATAAATGTCAGATGTATCTCAATGAACACTTGTATTCCACTAAAACCAATATTTAGCTTGTTTAACAATCAATGCAGATGAATGGCATTTTGCTCATTTAGATTATAATGACATTTGTAACAATACTGGCAACACAAAAAGTTTCTGTATTACCATAAATAATCCCTTAAAATCATCTCTGCTGCTTGATTGTTTAGGATTGAATTTTCATAATAAATTACTTTAATTATGGGAGAAAATGTCCTGTTATTCCTCCAAGATGACAATCAAGCTACAGGCTGTTGGACAGAGACTGAGCTGCATTATTCTGACAGCAGCGCCACCCAGTGGTCATAAAGTATAACCTTTGCTTTGTATTATTGTTTTATTACAGTATTTGAAAGATTTGTTGTAATAAAAGGTCAAATATTTATTATAATATTTTAAAAAATGTTGTTGAATATTCCTATGGATAGGGTGGAATCCTATCCTACTTTGCAGAGTTTGTTGGTTTTTTATTTATTTATTTTTCTGGTGTCTGGATCCACAAAGATTACATAAAATACCACCACGACTACAACTGCTACTACTACTAATAATAATAAGGTCCATACAAGTTCAACCTCACCTCCCACATGGCACCTGACAAACCATGAAAACTATGTCAGCACACCTAATCAAATTTTCATGACCTTCAAAACTACTATCACTGGATTGGACACGTACCCAACAACTACAGACAATCAACTCCTCCAAATAGTGAAACACCATGAAGAGCGTAAGAAGATGCACTCTATCAGAAAGGAAGCTTCAAAATTCAGACAATAACTTGACCTGACATACCAAAAACAATGAACGGGGAGACAGCCAAATATGCTCATAGAGTTAAACAGAAAATCAAACACCTAGGTTAATAAAAACTACAGAAAAACTGAGAGGATAAAGCAATGCATGGAAAGTGCATCCCCAATAATTACAGAGGCAGAYATAGATCAATACAGAACAAACCAACGGCTAAAGACAGTTGGGATGAAAGCAGTTCTAGCAGCACAGAACCAGAGCCTTGCTACCAGGTCCTATCACCACCACATTATGAAAGACAGGACCAAGGAAATGCAGGATATGTGGAAAATATGAAGAGCCTATATGGACCACATCATCCCAGTCTGCCCAGAATGAGCAAAAACCAAGTAGAGGCACAGGCAGCAGCTGGAAGATCTGCAGAGAGTACAAGATTAAAACAAAAAAAAAAAAAAAAGGAAAAAAATGGTACAAACATCGGCCACAGACGGTCACAGAGAGTCAAGACGTTACCGTCCACTGGGACATGCCAATCCAGACAGACAAAATAATCAATGCCAACCAACTAGACATTGTAATCAAGTAGAAAAACAAGACTTGCACGCTAATTGCCATGACAACATCATAAACACCTCTGTGAGGAAAAACTTTTTAAGATACGGAAATTGAAGTCAGCAGAATGTGGAACATGAAGACCGTAATAGTGGTAATGGAGCTCGACATACAATGATCCCATCAATATTCACAAATACTACTACTACTACTACTACTACTACTACTACTACTACTCCTACTACTACTACTACTACTACTACTACTACTACTACTACTACTACTACTATTACTACTACTACTACTACTACTACTCCTACTACTACTACTACTACTACTACTACTACTACTACTACTCCTACTACTACTACTACTACTACTACTACTACTACTACTACTCAATCAATACTTATACTT